TTACCCTGCTGTATATTTCCCCCTACTTTTTATTCCTGACTTTGGTTATTTGTGCTTTCTCTTTTTTTTCTTGATCAGTCTCATGAGAGTTATGTCAATTTTGTAGTCTTCCTAAAGAAACATACATATGGATTTGTTAATCCTATTTTTTCTATTTTGTTAATTTCTGCTTTTTATTACTTTTTAACATTTTTGGGGGGGATTTGTTTTAACCTTTTGAGTGGTGCTTAGGTGATTACCAAGTTTTTGATATTCTAAAAATATTTTTAAGCTATAAATTTCTAAGCACTGCTTAAGCATCTTCCCACTGTTTGGGTATGTGGCATTTTTATTATCATTCAGTTAAAATATTTTTTATCTATGAACCATGATTTATTCATGTATTTGTCCATTTCTGAATATAATGGGAATGTCCTAGTAATCTTTCTTATTAATTTCTCATTTAAATGCATGACAGAATTACCCTGATTTCCATCCTTTTAAATTGTTGAGATTTACCTTATGGCTCAGCACATAGTCAATTTCTGAAAAATGTTTCATGTGTGTTTGAAAGAGCATATGTATTCTTGATATAATAGTACATGTATATCCATTAGATTGCTTGTGAATCATATTTTTAAATGATTTTAAACCATATCTTTACTCATTTTTAGTCTGCTTGCACTGTTAATTACTGAGAGAGGTGTCAAAAATCTTTCAACTACTTTGAGTTTTGTGAATGTTTCCCCACTTTTGAGCCATATCGTTAGATAAGTACTAACTTAAAAACTGTTATATCTTCCTAATATTTCCCCTGAATTTTTTTTCTTGAAGCAATGGCTCTCTTTATCTCTAGGAATGGTTTGTGCCATAGTTTCTATTTCAGCTAATGTTAGTCAAGATATGGCAGTTTTCTATTGACTACTATTTTCTTTATATATTTTCTTTCTATTCTTTTACTTTCAAACGGTCCTTATATTTGAGTCTCCTCTAAACAGCACAGAGTGGGGTCTTGTATTTTTGTCCTGATGAAGTACATTGGATATAAATACTGATATTTTTGGCTTAAATATTTACCATCTGTTTTTTTCTTTGACCTATAAATTGTTACTTTTCTTTCATTTGCGATTTTCATTTAAAAAAACCTCTTATTCTATCCACTAGTATCAAAATTAGACTTTCTACTTTATGATTCCCTAGATTTTATAATTACAAGATTACTCAAAAACTTTATATTCATAGACCACCTCAATCCTTTATTTTTCTTGATTTGTTATTGTCTGGTGTTTTAAGTCTACTTTAACAACTCTAGATTATAATTATTTTATGTAAAACTTTCATTTACACTTGCCCACATTTCCTACTTTTTGCTCTTCCTTAGTTTTTACATCTCATAACTCTTTGTGGTATTGCCTTTCTTCTGTAAGTTCTTTAGAATTTCCTTTAGTGAGGGCCTGGAAGGGATCAATAAAATAAATATTTTCTCAAATGAAATTTTTTTTAAAAAACGTGCTTATTTTGTCCTCATTCTTGATTTTTTCATTGGCTATTAACATTCTAGGTTGAGTTATTTTCTATCTTTATACTACAGTTAATTCCACTCTTGGCTTTTATTGCTGAGGAAACCAACAGTTGTTTCTTTGATAGTAATTTTTGTTTTGTCTTTTGCCAAGACCTTTTCCTCTTTAACCCATTAAGTCCCAAGCTTTCAATGCTACATAGAATGATGGGACATATGAAATAATTTTCTATAGTAACACTATGATATCTGTAGGTGTGGTTTTCATAAATTTACCTTGCTTTGTGTTCTTTGGGGTTTGAAATCAGTAGGCATATTTTTCATCGACTTTAAAAAATTCTCAGCCCAATGTCTTTCCCTTTTCTTGTGTCAAGACTATGACTAAATACAAAAACTTCTCAATGAAGCCTCCCCATCTCCTGTATTGTCCTATTTCCATGCTGCATCCTGGACATCTTAACATATCTTTCAATTAATTCTCTTTTCTGTATGTTCCACTCTGTTGCCAAATACATCTTTAATTATTTTAAGCACAGATGTTCTCGTAAATATACCTGATAATTCAGTATGGGAAGTCTATGTGGGTCTGTTCCTTTCTTGGTTTTCATTTATGTTGCCATTTTTCTATGTGCTTATCTTTTGACTGTTTGGTGAAATAAATAAAAATGATTTATAAGCCCTGAGGTTAGAATTGAAGAAATCCTTTTTTGTGTGTGTGTTTACCAGGTGTCAGGTTGTTTTACCTAGATCTGAGTAAAGGTCTAGATCTGTGATCACAACTCATCAGGAATGCTTCCCCTTTCTCTTCTACTGGTTTTCTCAGTAACAAGGCAATTGTCTTTACACTTGGGGGAGTGGGGTCATATCTGATTCATCTTATCTTGAGAGGGTGGCATTTTGGGAACCCAGATCAACTGCAGAAAGATCTCCTAGTAAGATTCATCATTTTGGGTGGGCCTGGCCTTGAACTTCTGATTTAGCATCCATTGAACAGCATTAGCAGTCTAGAACAAAAGCTGTATTGGTGTTCACCTCTTTAATTATAGGACCCCATTTTTAAAACCAGTATTTTTAGCCTCCATGCTTTGAGAGGGAGGGGCAGTGCTATGGTCTAAATGTGTCAAATTGTTTCAAATTCATTTGTTGAAACCTAATTGCCAACTCAGTGATAGTGTTAGGAACTGGCACCTTTGGGAGGTGATTAAGTCATAAGGGTACACCATTTATGAACTGAATTAGTGCCCTTTATTAAAGGAGGCCTCATGAAAAAGGAAAAGAAAAGCAAGGGGGATCTCATGAATAACAAAGAGAAATCAGAAAATAGGGATCAGGGGGTGAAGGGAGAGGAATGCTGAGGAGTGATATTGGCCAAATTGTATTGTTATATTTTGTGCATGTACATATATGTATGTAACAAATTCTATCTTGTTACATGTAAGGATGCAGGAAGAAGTTCCCATCTACAAACCAGGAAATGGACTCTCACTAGGCACATAATCCAGACTTGCTAGCCTTCAGAGCTGAAAAATATATTTGACTCAGTTTGTGGTCTCTTGCTACGGCAGCCTAAATGGACCAAGAGGGCAAATTAAAGACACCCAAACTGATCCAAATAAAAGCCTACCTTTAAAAGAAAGTAATGTCCCACCTTTTTTTCCCTTTACAAAGTTTTTCATTCATTTTTATAGTGTATTTTTGTCATTTTAATGCTCATCTATGACATTTTCCCATGTACATTTGACTCTGAAATCTAGAGTTAAACAACATCTTGATCTCCCCCTTCTATATAATATAATCACTTTAGGCTTTTATGAATATCTTATTTACCTACTAAAAAAAGTGTTTGATTTAACTATAAGTTGGCAAATTTTGCTCCCCATGCCCTTGCATATTGTTCTCTGTTCTTAAGTGGGTAGGGGTGGTTCCTCACAACCATAAATTACTGCACTGGCCTGAGTAGGTTCAGCCTAACTAATTGGATCTGCTCTTTGATGTCCACCTGGGGCAGCTGAAGACCAAGAGACCCCAGATATACTCAGTATCTGTATAAGCTCAATTTATCTGGCCCTAGAACTACTTAAGGCCTGGGTCAAGAGGCCAGGGGCCCATTTTCCAAGCATCTAAATAGATGGGGACTGAAGTAGGTGCATGCCTCATGTTCAGTGCACTGGAGTGCTTAGGATTCACATCTGAAAGGTGGCCAACCTCTACTTTGTTACTTAACCTGCCTCCCTGAAATTAGGCAGTGTACTAGGTCTGGTTGGAATCCAATGAATTGGAACTGTGCAGGAGGTGGTCAAATAACAGGCATCCTGACTGCCCTGGCCATGGGGCACATGGAAACTTCAGGTAACAGAATTGTCTTAAGAAGTCAGAGCTGGTTTCATCTTCAACTAATAAAAGGCCAATCTGTATCACAGCAACTACTGGGAATGGATACTCTTAAGGCCTCCTTTTCTCCACTCACCAAACACCAACCCTGCCAGATACCTAAACACATGTGCTGCTGGCTCTATTTAGGCTTTTCTCCTCCTCCCCATAAAAAGAAAGAAAAATCAACTCAATGTCTTTCATGCCTCCCTCTTTGTTGGCTGTGCTCACTTTCCTCTGAATACCTACAAAGGTTAGCTTAGTTCAGACATTCAATAGAAAGGTATTGTGATCTTTTTCTCTTATATCTGTCTCCCAGGTACTCCTGCTTCTATCCTCTCCCTATTTGGTGCTTAGACAGTGGATTGTGCCTAGTAAATTCTTAACAAGTATTTGCTGAGCAAATTAATTCAAATCTATATTGGATAGAGTCAGGTTTGCTAGTGTCATATGTAGAAAAGGACATACATCAACTGTGGTCATGGCATTTCAAAGTGGAACTGAGTGGTAGAAATACTTCATCTCCTCCTTTCTTTATATCATCCATCAAAACCTACAGGTATTAGAAGACAGTACTCTCTAGTGCTCCTAGAAAGCAGCATGGAAACTATCTGGCTGCAGTGACAGGAATCCTAATGAGATAGGAAACAATCTGGCTGGAGATTGTTTTCTTATAAACACAGATTCTGAAGCCACAGACCAGACTTAGAATTTAGCCTCTACTGATAAGCCCCACCCACAGTCTTTTTGGGTAAGTTAGTTAACTCAGAAGAGTTTACTTTTACCATGAGTTACCTAGCTAACACTTCTACATAGCTAACAATATTTTATATTAAATTCTACCTGTTCCTAACAAACTGTTTCTGTGGGGTGATTTCTCACATGGCCTGCCTACTCCCACAAGTTTTGATCTGGCCCCAAGATAAGAATCACATTGCTTACCTGTGGTCCCCTCAAAATCTATCTGTGCTTCTTCTAGTGGAGGCACCATCAGGTAAAAATCTAAGTTACCAGGCTGTAGTATGAGTGTCCTGATGTTCTCTCTGGTTTAGATTTGGTATAACTTATTCCACAAAAATATAACACACAAATGGCTCTGTATATTTTTCTATCTAAAGTAAGTCACAGCCTGTTTACATTTGAGGAATTTCTTTATTGGAGTTCAATCTTACCTCACCACAATTACCTGGTCTTTATGGCAGAGCAGAATGAGCCCTGAACAAAGTATTCATAACATTTTACGACAGACAATATACACATGTAGTGCATGAAATCTTTACAACACATTCCAAAACAAACATTTGACAAGATTTAGAAACATGAATTTCCTCTCTCGATTACTAGTAGCTACTTAGTTTTTTAGCTACCACAATAAAATGCTCTCCTTCCCAACATTCCTATTCACAGGAATCCCTGAATTGATTCTTTCTGAAGGTGCAAATTCATGTTGAAGATTCATGTTCCATTAGTTATTGAAGATGGCAAAATACTCTCCATTGTAGGACCTTTTATGGTAGAATATGTGAATACCAGGTTTTCACTCATCACACAGTCATCATTTATTGAGGGGGTTCATTTGAAACTTTAATTTTCACCCATTCAACTCTTGAATTACAATATACATTTCACTCAATTTGCATTTTTATAATACTCTCCTACTCCTGTTAGATTTATAAGTTTATGCTTTTTACTTTACTACAAGGAAATCCAAATTTTTCTCATCCTATCCCCCAAACCATTCAATTACATTGTTAATAATCCATGATTACTAATAAATAAATTTATATTCCCTGAAGCCTATCTCTCCCTGAATTTGCCCTTTGGAGGCTCTTCTTGGATTTTTTTTTCCCCACTGACCAATACAATCTTATTGGGATGCAAAGCTATGTCTGAATTTCCTACATTTCTATTCACAAAATTTACCCAAATATGAACTCTCTAATGGTGACTTTGTGATTTCTAATTGAAGTTCTTTCTTCATATACATTTTTATGTCCAGAAATGTCTGCTCACTTTGAGGATTTAAAAATATCCCATTGTTTTTGATAGGTTTTATTCCCATAATGGACTATTTTACACTCCAAAAGGGCTCAACTACTTTAACACTGGAGCCTTCTTTGCTGATTATGATTGAAAATCACATAGTAAAGATTACTCTTGATCATCTAAAATGGTTTCACTTATACTATGAAATTTGTAAGCCATGAATAAGGGCCTCAGAAATTCTTACATTCATAAGGGTTTTCTTCTATTTGAGTTCTTTGAGACTTAGTAAGCTCTGCCTCCCACAGAGGCATCCTCATCCTGGTCCCATCCAGAACATTCCCTCCCTCGTAGATTATCTTCTGGGATGTGCTACTATAACTTTCCACATTTATCACATTTAGAGATTCCTCTCCAGTATGAATTCTTTTATGCTTGGTGAGATTTGATCTGATATTAAATGCCTTCCCACACTCATTACAGTGGTATGGCTTCTTTCCAGTATGAATCCTTTTGTGTTGGTCAAGGACTGATCTATAATTAAAGGATTTCCCACATTCACAATTATAGGGCTGCTTCCCCTGGTGGACACTTTTATGGTTGATTAGACTCGAGTGTGAGATATATGCCTTTCCACATTGATCACATTCATAGGGTTTCTCACCTGTGTGGATCCTTCTATGCACTGTGAGGCCTGAGCTGTTCCTGAATGCCTTCCCACACCTATCACATACATAGGGTTTTTCCCCTGTGTGGATCCTCTTGTGTTGAGAAAGGAGTGAGCTGTAACTGAAAGATTTCCCACACTCAACACATTTGAAGGGTTTCTCTCCAAGATGGATTCTTTTATGGCTTATAAGTGTTCTGCTAGAGAAAAAAGCTTTTCCGCATTCATCACATGTATAGGGGGTCTTACCAGGATGGGTACTTTTATGGTTAATAAGGCTTGAGTGTGAGATGTAGGCTTTTCCACACACATCACATTCATAGGGTTTCTCCCCAGTATGTATTCTTTTATGAACTTTAAGGCTTGAGTTGTTTCTGAAGACCTTTTCACACCTGTCACATTCATAGGGTTTCTCTCTAGTATGGACTCTTTTGTGTTGAGAAAGGAGTGAGGTGTAGTTAAAAGATTTCTCACATACATCACATTTATAGGGCTTCTCCCCAAGATGAATTTTTTTGTGGTTTATGAGGGTTCGGTATGTGATGAAGGCTTTCTCACACTCATCACACTTAAAGGGCTTTTCCCCAGGGTGTACACTTTTATGATTTATAAGGCTTGAGAGTGAGATGTAGGCTTTCCCACATTCTTCACATTTGTAAGGTCTCTCCCCAGTGTGGATTCGTTTATGTACTTTAAGGCCTGAATTGTTTCTGAAGGCTTTGCCACACTCATCACACCCAAAGGGCTTCTCCCTTGTATGAATCCTTTTATGCTGTTCAAGTGCAGAGCTATAGTTGAAGGATTTCTCACAATAGGTACATTTATAAGGTTTCTCCCCTAGATGAATTCCTTTGTGATTTTTAAGGCTAGAGCGTGAGATATAAGCTTTCCCACACACATCACACTTATATGGTTTTTCTCCAGTATGAAGTCGCCTGTGAACCTTGAGGCCTGAATTGTTTCTGAAAGTTTTCCCACACACATCACATACATAAGGTCTCTCTCCAGTATGAATAGTCTTATGTTGAAGAAGAAGTGAGTTATAACTAAAGGACTTGCCACACTCCTTACATTCATGAGCTTTTTTTCCTGGGTGAATGCTTTTATGAACTGCAAGGCCAGAGCTATAGCTGAATGCTTTGCCACAGACATCACACTTGTAAGGTTTCTCTCCTGTGTGGATCCTTTTATGAACTATAAGGCCTGAGCTGTTCCTGAAGGCCTTTCCACATTCATCACATTCATAAGGTTTCTCTCCAGTGTGGATGACTTTATGTTGAATAAGGAGAGAGCTATAATTAAAAGATTTCTCACACTCATCACATTTGTAGGGTTTATCTCCAAAGTGAATACTTTTATGATTTAGGAGTGTTCTGCAAGTAATGAAGGCCTTCCCACACTCATCACATTCATAAGGTTTCTCACCTGTATGGATTCTTTTGTGGACCCTCAGGCCAGAGCTATTACTGAAGGTCTTCCCACAGATGTCACATTCATAGGGCTTCTCCCCTGTGTGGATCCTTTTGTGGACTCTGAGACCAGAACTATTCCTGAAGGCCTTCCCACACTCACCACATTCATAGGGCTTCTCCCCAGTATGAATCCTTTTATGCTGGTCCAAAACAGAGCTATAATTGAAGGACTTTCCACATTCATCACACTTACAGTTCTTCTCCCCAGAATGGGTACTTTTGTGGTTTATAAGGCTGGAATAGGACATGTAGGCTTTCCCACATTCATCACACTTGTACGGTTTCTCCCCAGTATGGATCCGTTTATGGACTCGAAGGCTGGAGCTGCTCCGGAAAGTTCCTCCACAGTCATCACACTCATAGCGTTTTTCCCCTGTGTGCATAATTTTATGTTGAACAAGGCGGGAATTATATTTGAAGGACTTCCCACACTCATCACATTTATGTGATTTCTTAAGAGCAATGGTATTCTGCTGTAGGCTGGCATGAGAGTTTCCATTAATGCTCTCAACACATTTACCTTGTTCACTGCTTTTCTGTTCCATAGGGACAGTCTGATGTGTAACATGCTTTGAGCTCAGATGTAAGCTTTTCTCAGATGCCTCATCTCGTTCTGTTTTTATATTTGTCGTGTTCTTGGTTTTGTCAATCTTCTCCCTGATGCCACTTTTGTCTTCCTTCATTCTTTTCCACTCAGGCTTTTCCAATTGATTCCCTATCTTGCTATCCCAATCATGAGTTTTATCAATAGATTCCTGCATATGATCCTTGTGAAGACCTTCCATTTTTGGCCACTTAGATTCTGCATTTCCAACATTTTCATATTTTTCAGCTGATTCCTCATCCTCAGTGCCCGTCTTCAAATGTGACACTAAACCAAGAAAATGAAAATGATACCTGTTCACTTTGTTTAGAAAAAACTGGAAGAATAACATTAAAATTCATTCATTCACTTGATAAATATTTATTGACTGCATGCACCATAGATACCATTTTAAATACTGGAGATGTAACAGTAGACATGACAAAATTTCTGTTAAAACCAGAGCCCTGAATTTCAGATCAAAGAGCTTTCCAATTCTTGCATAACAGTTTAGCATGACAGCAAGTTGAAATGATGCACAGAATAACAGATAACACTGATCAATTTTTGAACAATTAACCTAGTCATGGAACAATGAACAGAAGGTAGGGAAAAATCTCTGAAGAACAGGAGACAGAAAGATTATTAAGATAAAAGTTAGGGAGTGGGGAGGGTGGTACTGGGTACTTTACCACTAAGCTATATCTCCAGTCCTTTTTAAAAAAATTTTTTTAAATTGTATTTTATTTTAAAACAAGGTCTTGCCTCAAATTTGCAATCCTCCTGTCTCTGTCTCCTAAGTCACTGCAATTACAGGCATGTGACACTGTGCCTTGCATAACTTTTATTTTTAATTATGAAAGTTACACATAATCAGCAGAGGACAGGCAAACTAAAGAAATCAGTACCTGTGTAGAGGTATCAGGGAGGTGGTTGTAGTTATGAAATCATGAGGATGATCACTGCAGAGATTAGAAAGAAAACAACCTGCAGCTGCCTTAAGTTGGTTTCCTTCCGGACTTTCCCTCCAAGGAAAACACTGGCCCTGGAAAGTGATTAGGGAAGAACTCTACATGAAAGAACATGTTCCGGCCATAAAGCTTTTATTCCTACTTATAAACAGGCTAACTATTGGGCAAATCAAAGATTAGATGCAAAACCATGAACCAATGAGCAAAGAAAATACAGTTGGCTCACCATATCTGCAGATTCTGCATCTGCAAATTCAGCCAATAATGAATTAAAACTACACAGAAAAACAAAATTTCATCCACATGGAATGTGTACAGACTTTTTTCTTGCCATTATTCCCTAAAAAATACAGAATGAGAAAGATTTATATAACATTTACAGTGCTGTAGGTATAATAAATAATCAAAGGATGACTTAAAGTACACAGGAGGATGTGTGTTGGTTATATGCAAACACTATACCATTTTATATAAAGACTTGAATATCTACAGCAGATTTTGGTGTCTGTGTGTATGTGGGGGTGTTCTGGAACCAATTCCTTTTGGTAACCAAAGAATTAATGGAATACTTCCTAAGTTCAAATACCCAGCTGTATGCCCCTGAGAAAGTTATTTAATCTCCTTATACAGCAGTTTGCTCCTGTGTAAAATGAAGGCAATAGAGTTGTTGTAATATTAAATGATAATATGTGTAAAAGCACAGAGAACTGTGCCTGTTCTTTGGTGAGTGCTATATGTTATAATTATTTGTTGGACTATTAAAATGAAGTCGAGTTATTTCAAGTCGAGTTATTGGATTGAGGTTTAAACCTGAGTGATTAAAGCACATGACTCAGAAAAGGTAAAATTCCAAAAACAGATTCTAAGATCTTTGTTCCCTTGAAGTCATACTACATATCATTTGTTTTCCATTCGTACCTACCTACTAAAATACTAAGTCCTGAGAAGAAAAGATACTATTCTAATTATTCTAAGCTAGTTACTCCTAAACCTTAGACAATGAGACATTTTCGATTAGATTTAATTAATTTTGTATTTTCTCCTCTTATCCTGAATGCATATCAGATTTTTGGATAATTACTTTGAAATTTGGATAATCGTACTTTGAAAACTCTATAAGTAAATATGTTAGGAGGAAACAGGAGCAATAAAAAGAAGGTAAAATATATATTTTAGAGTACATATGAATAAAGAATCACAGTCAAGCTGGGCAGTGGCATGTCTGTAATCCCTACTCTGGAGGATGAGGAGAGAGGATTGCAAATTTGAGGCCAGCCTCAGTAACACAGCAAAACCCCGTTTAAAAGAAAGAAAAAGTAAAAGAAACAGTCATGATCTAACTTATGGATAGAAAAGACTCCAAATTAAAATTTACAAAATAGGGAGGCTAGGGTTGTGGCTCAGTGGTACAGCACTTGCCTAGCATGTGTGAGGCATTGGGCTCAATTCTCAGTACTACATATAAAATAAATGAATAAAATAAAGGTCCATCAACATCTAAAAATTTTTTAAAAAATTTTACAAAACAGGAGAAGCAGTTAGGAACTCAGGAGATCACTAGGAAGACAATCATTCAGTAGACATTAAATCAAAAGGTGTTTCAGCTGAGAGAATATCACAAAATGACTATTATGTAATTAAATGTTATATAATATTAAATACTAAGTAAGAATCAACTGAGGTCACTGAAGAATGGTGGCATGGCTTACTTCCCTGCTTCCTTTTATTACTTTGGATAAAGTGGTCCATGTCACTTAAAGTGTGAGGGCTACTATTTGGGTATAATTCCAGAACCATTAGCAGCAATACATCTGTGCTCGGAATGCTGTTCCCATACATATCAGGTCCTGGTCCACTCATTTCCTTTTCAACTTTGTCCCTTCCACTTATACTCTCCAGGACAGAAAAATGTTTATGCTTCTATAGTAATAAAGCCAAATTTCTCCTTTAAAAAAATACAAAAGAAAAAACCCACAAAAAATTGTTAAGGGAAAAAAAGAAAAAAAAGGCTAAGGGGGTACAAGTCATACTAGATATTAAAATATACTATAAAGCTTCTATAATTAAAATAGTGTGGTACTGGTACATAAATAGAAGAAAGTTCAGAAACTTCCCCAACTACACATAGAAATCAATGGTAAAGATGGTATCTCAAATTACTAGGTAAAATCCATCTTTTATGTTTTAACAACTACAAAGCCATCTGGATAAAGATATTATATCCATTCTTCATAACATACATAGGAATAAACTCCAAATGGAACATAGCTCTAAATAAAAAAGCTATACAAAACATGGGTGAATGCCTCTATAACCTGGGTATAGAGAAAGCTTTCTATAAAGATGCAAAATAAAGACTGAATTTAACCACATAAAAATAAGATTTTATGGTAATAATACTATAAGCAAAATTGAGAAATAAAAGACAAAATAGAAGAAAATATTTGCAACATAACATATATAAGGGCCAATATCCTATTATACGAAGAATTTTCAAAAAGTGAAAGAAAATAAGACTAAAATTCCTACTGAAAAACAGGCAAAAGATATGAAGAGATTATTCACAAAAAGAAATACTAAACATGAAAAGATATTCAACTTCACTAATGAAAGAAACATAAGAACTATAGTAAGATACCATTTTGCACCTGTTACATTGGCAAATATTCAAAATGCGATTAAATATTCTATTGAGGTTGTGAAGAAAAAGTATTCTCATACATTGCTAGGAATACAAATAGGTACAACTCCTGTGGGTAGAAAATCTGCCGATATCCAACAAAACTGCATACACATTTCCCCTTTAATTCCAAAACTCCAGTTCTAGGAATTTATACTAAAAGAACACTTCCAATAAAACAAAAGTATAGCACAAAGTTTTTCATTATAATATTTTTTGTTGTTTTTGTTTTTAGTTTTTGGTTTATTTTGTCATTTTTTTCTTTTTCATTATAACATTTTTATGACTGCAAAATCTGGAAAACTACATAAATGTTCGAGTACAGATGATTATGCTATGGCACATATGCAAAATGCAGTACTAAAAAATGATGAGGAACATCCTATTGACATGCAGCAATTTCCAGGATACACAGTATTATAAAGTAAAAGTGAAATAGAGTATATATGCTAAAGTTTGTGTAAGAAATAAAGGAAAGTAAAGAAAAAAAAGTAGCTATCTACTTATCTTTACAGAAATACCAGAAAATTGTCATTACTTAAATGGGTGGAGTGGGAGAAGACAGCAGAAGGGACAGGGGAGAAATATACTCTATAGCATCTATATAGCATCTATATAGTATAATAATGTTCTGCATATTCAAAGAATAATATTAAATCCCTAATGATGAGAAAGGGGGAAATTGCAAAAACAAAAAGCAAACAGAAACAAATGAACTCATTTGTGTTTCACATGAATATCAAAACCACAGGGAGGAAACAAATACAAAGAACTAGTTCATGTAACTTAGGAACATAATATTTGACTATATACATTCAGGAAGATAGGATAGGAGTGGTTTGGTGCACAGAAGGATATCTATAAATTACCCTTAAATGATTGAAAAAAATATTGTATCTATGAAAGAGCAAGACAATAAAATGAAGTAAACGTTAACTATGGGTGAATTTTAAAGGGTACCTTTTTTTGTAAATTTATAAAAAAAATTCTCCTCTTTGTACTACTTTCACCACTCTGTTTCCTACTAGTATCTTGATAAAGTGGTCTTCGTGTCCCATCTCCCCTCTAGCCCTGTGGAATTAACCTGATTTCTTCTATTCAGACAATGCTGAATTAGCTTTTTCTAGGTCAGGTGCTTGCTCCCCAGACTGCTGTCCCTTGGATGCTGCTGGCCTCCTTGTTCCATCTTGAATCTTCTCAATTTACTCTATATACTTAGATACTAACCCCTAGACAAAACTCCTACCACTCCTATAAGCTGTCTCTTAGATATTCATCTCTGTCCCAGATCCTTCTCTTCAATTACAGACCTGATTACAATTATCTTTAATTACAGACCAAATTATCCACCCCCGCTCCTCCCTTTGCCTAAACCAGAAGGGGGACTCTTATTTTCCTAATCTACTCCAAAACAGCCCATAAAACCAGCTGATTCCATTGCTTAAATAGTTCTCAAGCTCCCACCTCTGCCTCCATCTCCATTTTTGCTGCTAAGACCTTAGTTTAAACCCTTCTAAATTATCTTCTGAGCTGCTACTATATAGTCTATCTGCCTTCATTCTTATGCCTGTCCACTTCTTCTTCCAATAGCTTTTAAGAATTTTATACAATGCATACCTGATCACTCCCTGCTATGGTTTGCATGTCCCCGCCAAAACTCATGTTGAAATTAAATTGCCACCATTGCAACAGCATTAAGAAATGGGTCTTCCCTACCCCTCCCCTCCTTTCATTTTCTTCATCCTTCTTTACCTCCCTCTGTCTTTCTTGGTTCTGGAGGTTGAACCCAGGGGCACTTTACCACTGAGTTATATCCCCAGACTTTTTATTTTGAGACAGGGTCTCCCTAAATTGCTTAGGGCCTCATGAAATTGACAAGGCTGGTCTTAAACTTGCAATCCTCTGCCTCAGGCCTCCTGAATCCCTGGGATTATAAGCATGTGCCACCACTCCTGGTGCATCTTTTTCTTTCTTATTTTGAAAAATTATTTATTTATAGTACTGGGAATGAACACAGGGTACTCTAACACTGAGTTACACCACTGGCTTTTAAATTTTGAGATGGGTGTTGCTAAACTGCTCAGGCTGACTTGGGACTTGTGAGCCTCCTGTGTCAGCCTGGACCCCTTCCCAGTAGCTGGAATGATAAATGTGTGTCAAACAGTGTGGCTCTCATTTGTTGTTGTTATTTGTTTGTTCTTTGAGATGGTGCCTTGCTATGTTGCCCAGGCTAGCCTTCAACTCCTGGGCTCAAGGGATTCTCCTGCCTCAGTTTCCTGAGTAGCTGGGATTATAAAAGCACACCACAGAAGCCTGACTGAAGTGGGACTTTTAAGAGGTGATAAAGTCATGATGGCTCTGCATCTGTTATGAATGGATTAATGCTATTATCTTGGGATTGTGTTATTTATAAAAAGGCAAGCTTAAGCCTGGCACAGTGGTGAATGCTGCTCAGGAGGCTGAAGCAGGAGGATAACAAGTTGCCAGCCTGGGCAACTCTGTAAGTCCCTGACTCAAAATAAAAACAAAAAGGGGGCCAGGTATATAGTTCAGTGGTAGAGTGCCCTAGGTTCAATATTCATTAAAAAAAAAAAAAGTGAAAGGGCAAGTTCAGCTCCATTCTGCCCCTCTCTCTTTGCTGTTCTGCCATGTTATGACTTCCACCATGAGGTTACAGCATAAAGACCTTCACCAGATGCCAGTGCCTTGATCTTATCTTGATCTTGGATGTCTTAGCCTCCAGAACTGTGAGAAATAAATTTCTCTTCATTATAAATTACCCAATCTGTGATATTTTGTTAGAGCAACAAAAAACAAAGTAACACATTTCCCAGGCCAGTCTTCTGCATCCAACCACTTAAAACTGATTCTTTGAACATAAAATAGACCACGCCACTCTCATCACCTCATTGCCACTACATGCACTGATTCTGAGTCTGCCCTTTCTCTGAACTTTTTAACAGATTCTTAGCTCCTTTCATGTCCTTCGGGATTATCTGATTGGCTGCTGACTGGCCTAGTCTGCATGTAATCACAAATACTTAACTATATACCTCTCTATGCTAGTCATAAGCCAGGGATCTCCTGGTTCTGGTTCTGTTCAATCATCTCAGTTTGGATAGGTGCATAATGTCTATCATTTAGTGTAGTTCACTCCTCTTATTGAGTAAAATGAAAATAGATCAACATATTCACTGAAAACAGCTCAAAATTCAAATTAATCAGTATCACAACTAAGAAAATGTGAAACAAAAATGCAGAACACCAAGATAGCACTGGAGTAAGTGCTGCTAAAAACTAAAGGCCTTAAAGAGAATGTAACAAAATATTAATTTATGCTCATAAGCAATACTGAAAATGCATTCTAGTTATCTCTGAGGCTGAATGCTGCACAAGAAACTTAGATTATGATCCATACCTTGCTTTCTTTACCCTGGTCTTGAGCTATTCCTAGAAATAAAGAGAGATAAGACAAGGTCTAGCCATCAAGGTCCCTGCAGAGGAGAAGGAATGCCTCACTGGAAAACAATCAATGAGATAAAAATGACAGAGACAAAGAGTCCAGATAGAGGAAATGGGTGGGGGTGGGGGGTACAGGAAGGAAAGACTGCCTAGAAGAACTAGAAAGAGGGTGGGAAGAAAAGAGTAAGTAAGAGGGAAGAGCAAGTGTAAAACAACTGATGTTCACCACCCACTAGACATCTGGAACACAGGACAGTTGGCAAAGCTGGACAGGTGGGCAAAAATAAGGGATGTACTAGGGTCGGACTCATACTAAGGAGTACAGACTTGTCTCAGGAGTTTTAGACAAAGGAAAAGCAAATGTATGTAAGGATTTTGAAAGATCATTTATTTTACTAAATCAGAGGTTAGTGATCATTTTCAGTAAAGGACCAAAGGGCAAATATTTTAAGCTTTGTGGGCCATATAGGATGGTGCTTATTGTTTTTTTTTTTTAAAATATCCTTTAAAATGTAAAAATCAGTCAGGTACAATAGTTTATGTCTATAATTCCAACAACTCAGGAGGCTGAGGCAAGATAATAAATTTGAGACCAGCCTGAGCAACTTTAGCTAGACTCTTAACAACTTAGTGAGACCTTATCTCAAAATAAATAAAGGGAACTGAGGATGTAGCTCAGTGGAATAGCAAAGCACCCTTGGGTTTAGTCTCCAGTACCCTCCCCAAAGGGAAAACTCATTCTTAACTTATAGTCCATACCCACAGATTACAGGCCCAGTAGTTTCCCAACCTACTGCCTATTCAAAAATATAAAGGAACCAGAGTTACTTTGGGATGGTGTGATAATGGTATTGTAGCTGTTAGAGGTCCCCATTTAAAAAAAAAATATGCCAACTGAAATATGCATGGGTAAAATGGCATGGCGTCTAGAATTTACTTTTAAAATACTTCAACAAATTTAAAAAAAAAAAAGCAAAAATGAGACAAATGTAGCAGAATCCTGAAAAGAAAGATCACTCATACTAATTCCAGTGGGAGCATGGATTAAGAGGGAAGAGAATCAAGACCTGGAGTTCTAGCAGGTTATTAAAATCAGGAAGACTAATGTGGGGCTGTCATATGTCCCCTATGACACAAGAAAGGAATTACTCCAAAATCACAACTCTTCCACAGAGAGGGCCAGAAAGGTCCGAATTTCTTAGAAGTTCTCAAAGCTGGATGGGAAACCCCTCTCTAACCAGTTTTCAACAGGGATCATGACCCTGAATATCTGGTTAAATTAGTCAAAGTCAGTCACAGAATGCTCTTCATTCTTTACAAAACTGTGTATCACTTACACCTGTGGGCATTTCTTCCAGTACCAACAAATAGTTTGTGATCTACTACCATTACCAACAAAAGTACATGCTGATAGTAAGAACGTGAACTCAATTTTTGTCTCTGCACCAGAGTCAGGAGCCACTTCTTAAGAACCTAGACAACTCACATGAGCATAACTGTGACTCACTCTGGGGGCTGAAAATTCTTTCCTATAATAACAGACTGCAACAAGAAACAGGTACAACATATCAATCACTACTCTGAATTTCCAAGGGGCAACAATATTTCACAAAGCAATCTACTATCTCAAGTGTCACACTGGGATTCTGTCCCTTAAGTTCTTGGATTATATTTGACTTGGAGATAACTGGAGAAAGAAAATGAGAGAGAATGTACCACAAAATGGTTACTAACAAAGAAGAAAGAGAACCTAGAACGAGGAAACAGGCAAATGAAAGCTGGGACTAAGGAGTAAGCAAAGAAGGAAAGAAAAGTGATATGCAAAGGATAAAAGAGAAAATGGTTTGTGCTGTCTAGTTATTTTTGCATTTAGTTTGTGAATATCTGAATTGTAAATGGTTAACATGACTTGTTTCTATTGCTTAAAAGCACCAGTAAGGATTAAAGGTGATTTTTTTCTAAAGGTTGAAAAAAAACAAGAAGAAGAAGAAGAAGGAACAGACTCATACCTGGTAATGGAGAATAGATTTCCAATTGGCCCAGAAAACAAGGTAAAGGAGATTTTGAAAAGCAAGTTGAGAGATTCCCTGAAACTAAAGGGGCAGGGACTGGCTTGAAGAAAGTCAGGGATAGAATTAGTGTCTGTCAGTGAAAAACACGTCTCCAGAGGGAAAAACTACTTCATTTTTATATAGTTTTATTTGTTCTCTAAACACTCTACACAGTAATTACAATACTGATTTGACATTTTAACAGTCTGCCAATAACTGGCTGAGTTAATGTAAAACAAACATTCCTTAAAAACCTTAATCTAATATAATGGCATTCAGTACTATTGTTAGGGGTAACAAAAAATTAGAAATAATCCAAATTTCCCTGAATGGAACTAAAGCAAATTATGAACGTTCAAAACATCTAAACAATGACCAATCCAAAACCACGGCTCTGTAAAACAAAAACTGTTTTCTAATATGCAGGGATCTATAAAGCAGATTAAGTGGAAGAAGCAAAGGGCATCAGGATGTACTGTATCATCTTTGAAAAAAGGGAGAACTAACTACATTTATATCTGCCAGTTTTTAAATAAATTTTGGGACATACACTCAAACTAAAAGTGGTCACCAAGGAAGTAAGGGTTGATAAAAAGCTAAGCAGATTGGGGGAAATCTTTTCACCAACTTTTTAAGTTTTTATTATTGAAACCATATGAATATATTATATATTCAAAAATTCATTAAAAAAAAAGTTGGGCTGGTGACCTAAACGTCTTAGAACAACACAACCAGCCCTGGACTACCCCCAACCCACGTTTGTCTTTTATATTCCCACAACCTGGCTTCCTCCAGGCTTTCCCGCAGCCTAGAGGCCTCTTCCACCTTCTTTCTCCCTACACTCCTCAGATTTGAAGGCCCATGGCAAGTCGTCTTCCCCAAGCATACCCCTGCCGGGGGCCACAAAGCGCTTTCTGGGGGCTCCATCCACTCCTGCAGCAGGAGTCTCTCAACACCACTCACTCACTCACCAAAAAGAAGGAGTAGGCAGGTCGAATCAGAACACCCCTAAGGATCCTTCTGGCGCTAGAATTTCCTCCTAAGTCCCAGGGCCAAACTTAACTGTAACCGCGGCACCACAGGGTAGTTATTTTAAAGCGCTTATTTTCAGGATTGTCTACCCTCCCCGTCCAAGACAGCAATGAACAGTTAAGGAACACGGGGGGCGGGACACGGTCCTTCCGTGGAAGTCGGGGCAGCCCTAACACGACCCTGGCCTGCTCAGATGACAGGAGTTGGAGTCCTGTCAGTTTCAGAGGCGGGCCCTACACCCTTTGGCAGGCCTGAGATTTTCTTTCCTTCCCCTTTTCTCCCCTGGAACCCGCCTCTTGAGACGTGTGTGGGGAGGGCATGCTTTCTCCCAGGTTCCGCCCGAGACCCAGGGGGCAGCCTGGACCGGGCCAAGAAGGGAAGGGCGTGGCAGGCAAGAGCCAGGGGGGCGGGAGCGCAGGCGGCCCGGGACTCACGTACTGGCTGTGGCGGCGCCGCGGGAGCCCGGCCGCCAGCGGACAAAAGCTCAGACGGCCCGACCGGAAAGACCTGCGCCAACCCCAGGGCACTTCCTATGACTCTCTGGGAAGCTGGAGGACTGACTCGATGGTATGCCCTCTTTTGGACACGTGACCGGGGATCCTCTTGGCCCGCTTAGGCTTGGAGAGTGGGAAGATCCTCCAACTCCTATTTATTTAGTACCGGTGCTGTGGTCCGCACGTGGGGCGCGGCCTAGAAATTACAGGCGGAGTTTCCTGTTTTCGTGGACTTTACGTTCAGGGATAGAATGGGGCGCGCGGTAGGAGGGGGAGCACAAGTGATAGCATGTGGATTGGTAGGATAAATACCTAACTTCCTACCGATGTACTGGAACACATAGTTACCGAATGAAGCCGGGAGAACGACCTGGGGAGTGGGGGGGATCCAGATGGGGTCGGAGGAGAACCCTGGGCTGGGGTTCTCGTAAGCTGTTTCCAGAACCTAGTGGGGCACGGACATAGTGGACGAGAGTGTAAATCCACTGCTTGGGTTGAGAACCCCCACCGAACCCCCCTCTGGGCCTGCTGGAGTGAGGAAAGGAGCTAACCCCTGGGTTCTAGACCAGACCCCTTACTATGCTGGCTTGCTGGATTCGCACTGACCGGGCCTTTCCACACCCTGTCTTGGTGTGGGCTCCAAAACCCAAAGCCTAAAATAACTGCAAAGAATGTGTTCTTCCCATGCTGTTAGTGTTGACATTTAACTTCTTTTTTTTTTTTTTCCATTTAAATGGATTCAGTGAGATCTAAAAGCCCATGAGGATTTGATACTATCATCCACTTTTAACAGACATTTTTGTAATTGGGAATATTTTTTTTTTTAACCTTGAACTTGTGTTTTTATTTTATGCTTCTCAGGGGGACTTTTATCCTAATCTAAAATGTTTTTATTCCACATGCTTCACTGAATTTTATCCTGTTAAATATTTTTTTTGGGTTTTATTGTTCATCTGATAAAAGAAAAAACTTGAGATGACCTAAAATGTAGTTCCAGGAAAGAGGATGGAGAAAAGAAATCAGAGAAGCTATTTAGCTAACAGCTTCAGACCAAAAACAAAACACACGCACAAAAACCCACTAAACTGCTTCACATTCTTGAGTGTATAATTGATACCACCCATTATGTGAGGAGTTCTCACATGTTGAAGTTTGAACATTGGAGAAGCATGCGGAGGCAAGCATATAAAGCAGGGTTTATTTAAAAAGGGTAATAAAAAAAGGGGGGGGGGTAATATAGCCGTTTCCCAGGAGGGACAAGGGGGCCATAGCTGGTATCCTGATATCCCAAGAAGAGAGGTGGTTTGCCCTTTTTATATGTCCTAGGCTGCCTTTGTTCTGCTTGCTTCCTCTTATCTTTCTCCTTCCTGCATATGTGACTAGGTGGGATGGCCAAAAGGTGGGAAACAGGTGGGCTGAAGGGGTAAGGGCAGGATGGTGCAGCCCAGGACTTATTAATTAACAACCTTGTAGCTCCCTGTAGGGAGGGGCAATTCCTGGGACAGTTTACCTCAGCGACAGGTTGGAGCAGGGACAGTTTCTTGATAAGGGTGGAGGAAGGGCTCCAACTCTTGGGCTCACTCAAAATTAGCTTCCTTGATCCAACCTGACTCTATTTACCTGTCTATACTGATTGCCTGTATAATTCTGGCTTCATAATTAAACCCTTAACTCAAAACTTCAGGAAGCAACAAGTATTTTTCCTTGCTGGCTATCCTTCTGTCCCCAAAATGCCTGGCTTGGCCTTGTCCCTACCAGTCTTTCTATAGCTAATGTCGGGTAGAGTCCTTTCTTTCCCCAAAGTTAAAAATGCTCTTGGCTCTGTGCTGGTGGAAATTTTTCCAATTACATAGCCCTGCTATAGGTAGTTAGGGGAAATTATCCCAGTATCCGGTTGGACCTTTTTCTGGTTAGCATCTGTAGTGGCTCAATAAACCCTCTTATTTCCATAGATCCCTTGGTTCTTTAGGATTTTGGTTTAACACACCCTAGCAGACATCTCCATAATGAAATGATTACTTCATAATTTTTTTCTTATTTTAAAGTGTTAATTATTATTAACAAAGCTGTGTAAGTATGTTGTAAAGTCTTATGTTCAGTTCTTACACCAAAACTTAAATGCTTTGGAAGTATAACTTTTTTTAAGTTCAAATTATACTAGGGTGAATTGTACTGATGGCTGGAATGAGCTGGGGCTCAGCATCAATTTTATGCTTAGTTTTCTTTTGTATCTATGGAAGGTCTGAGTCAAAACAGAGTAACTCAGTGGAGTAATGTTGACATTTAAATAACAATATAGGAATTTTGTTTGTAGCAATAATCCTTTGGTTGTATTTGGACTGCATGCCAGAATTCCACATACTCAAAAGGAAGTCTGGGCCAGTGGGAGCTTTGCTTTGTCCTTGAGCAGCAGGCAGTGGTGAACTCTAGTAGGAAGCAGATCCTTAAATACTGTTCAGGCCAGGAAGTTTTGAATAGGAGCACAAGCAAGTTGAAGATTGGGAGGAGATTCTCCTAGAGCTGCCCTAACCAGTAATCTAGACATATGTAGCTGTTGAGCACTTGAAATGTGGCTAGTGCAACTGAGGATCTGAATTTTTAATTATATTTAGTTTAAATAGTCTCATGTGACCATGTTATTTGACAGCATAGCCCTAGAAGGAGCTTTGGGCAGTTCTAAGCTTTCAGAAAAATTCAGACTGAAGGCTGCTGCCTTAAGCTGGCCTGCCAACCAAGACAGCAGCAAAGTTTAAAATATTTATGTCCAGGTTGGAGGGCTTTGCTCAATAAAAGGTAGTTTGAGAAAGAGAGAGAGAGAGGTAGATATCATTGAGAAACCTAAGAAATTGCTTCAGATGATTTTTAGATAATGTTTTTTCTCTTCACGAGTCTTGTAATACTGCAGCACTTTTTGTTTGTCCTTATGCTTACACACACACACACACACACACGCGCGCGCGCGCGCACGCGCACGCACACACTTTTCCAACACTGTCTCTTTGGAATATTTACAGATCATTGAAGTGTTTAGAGTTGTCCAATATGGTACTACTGTTCACATCTGACTATTGAGCACATGGTGGCTAGTCTGAACTGAGATATGTTGCGAATATAAAATTCACTCTGGATTTTCAAGCTAAGTGGGAAGAAAATGTAAAATATTAATATTTTTATGTCTGTAATATTATATTGAACTATACTCTCCTTTTCTCCTGTTGTTAATCAGTGAGATTCTTTAAAATTGTCTTAAAAAATAAGTCTGTGTTGTAATAAATAATTCTGTGCAAAGTTCTTCCCATATTTTCCTTGGAATAGTTGACAAAAATAGAAATTCTTGGATCAAAAGAAAATAACATCAGTGGAGAATTAAAAGCACTAGTAAGCTTAGTGGGGGAAACATTGAAAACAGAGTAAGGAAACAGTAAGAGATGTTACCCACCAACACCCCCTGCAACTGGATAAGAAAAAAATGTAGAATGCAAATATTGGAAAACAAGGGTATCACTATCCTATTTTCAGGTAATAAGCATATTAATAATTAAGCTGGTATAATTCTGAGGCTTATCAGTGAACCCTAAAAATAGACTTATGTGGTTATGGGTATATCTGATAAAGGTGACAAATTTGGGCAGAAAGATATAACAACTGGGAAGTTTATTTATTAAAAAAATTAAGTTAGATTGAAATTTTAGCCCTTATGTTGGGATAAACTACATATATATAAAAGAGTGAAATGTAAAATGCCATACACAAGCCAGAAGTATGTGCCTGTAGTCCCAGCTACTCAGAAGGTTGAGACAGGAGGATTGCTTGTTGCCCAGGAGAGTGAGAGCAGCCTGGGCAACATGGTAAAACCCCCTCTCAAGTAAATAAGTGATAAATAAAAATGTATACACGTTGACCATCACCAGTGTACAGGTGAATTCTTTGATCATATTGGAATAGAGAAGGTTGTTTTTCTTTTTTTACTATAACAAATCCATAAACTGTAAAAGTAAAGAATTGCCAATTCAAATAAATAAAAATGAAATACTCTGTGGCAAAACCACCATAAGCAAAGTTAAAAAAACAAAAAAATCAAATGACTACCTAGGAAAAATATTTGCCTTTTCTAGGCAAATTTCCCTGATAGACAAAGTTCATCTCCAAAACTGATAAGATGAAAAACCCACTAGAAAAATAGGTTCACAGAAAAGTATATACAAATGACTCAATAAAAATTTAAATCCAAAGTACACAGAAATACCCTATTTCTATCAGAATGACAAGCATTCAAAAATTTGATAACACAGTGTGGTAGTCATATCACAAGGGAAAGCACTCTTCTGCCCTGCTGTAAGGAGCATAGACTGACCCAGGGGACTGGACAATACAGACTAACATGCACGTATCCTTGGCATTTCTGCTCTAGAAATTCCCCATGCTGGTGTAGTAACACTGCTATAGTTTGGATTTGAAATGTCCCTGAGAGTCCCATAGTTAAAGACAGCCTGCAGCACTACTGGGAGCTGATAGAGAACCCTTAGGAAGTGGGGCCTAGGAAGTTCGATCACTGGGCATATGCCCTTGAAAAGGACACTGGGACCTCGACTACTTCCTCTCTATTCTTTCTTACTTTCTGGCCACGTGAGGCAAGCAGTTTTCCTCATCACATGCTCCCATTATGGTGTACTCTGCTGCCATAGGCCCAAAACAGTAGAGTCAAGTGACTATGGACTGAGATCTCTGAAACTGTTACATAAACCTTTAAGTTGAATTATCTCAGGGATTTGTCACAGTGACAGAAAGCCAACTTACACACATGTAAATGTGAAATGGTGCATGGAAAGCTTATTCACTGTAGCATTTTTAAAGTAAAGGATTGGGGAAAACCTAAAAGTCCAAAATAGGGAAATGATTAAATGATTTATTGTACATCCACTTGTATTACTTTGCCAGGGCTGCTGTAACATGTAGCACAAACTAGGTGGCTTAAAGAGAAATTTATTATCTCACAGTCCGTGAGGCTTGGAGTATGAAATCAGGAGTCAGACGGGTTGGTTCCTTCTGAGGGCTGTGAGAGAGAATCTTGCCTAGCTTCTGGTGGTTTGGTGTTCCTTGTGGACATATCACCACTGTGTTTGTGTTTATGTGCATATTTCTAGCTTTTATAAAGAAAACAGTCATGTTGGATTAGGGTCACAAACTACTCCAGGATGACCTCTACTTACTGATTATGTCTGAAATGACCCTATTTACAAATAAGTTCCTGTTGTTGGGTATTTGGGGTTAGAACTTAAATATATGAATTTGACGAAGAGCACAACAACCCTATACTATGTTTAGCAATAAAAAATAAAGAGGAGGCTCTTTATTAAATGGTAATATGGGGAGGTTCCTGGGTTGCTGAAAGGGAAGGCTGGGAAGGAGAATTTTGAATGCACGTCCTTTTTATATTCCTTGCATTTCCAATCATGAGAATGAACTAGTTATTCAAAAATTAATTTAAACATAATAAAACCTAAATTGAATCAGAATGTTAAACTGTTCTTGAGAATTATTATATTTATGAGATCCTCCAACCATAAGTAAAAAGCCTCCTGGGGATTAAGTTTGGCAGGTTTATTTTTTCTCTAAATGAGTAGGCCAAGCATGTAGTTTCATTTGCTGTTTGTTAATCCTCAGAGATCTCCTCTAGGGACTGCCTGTCCTGATTTGAGATCAAGTATTTTATTGACGTCTTTTATGGAGTTTTTCATCACTGTGAGAGCATATTGTATAATTAAAGAAGTTCACCTTTTGAATTTGCCGTGAACGTTGCTGTCCTTTTTATTGCATGCTCTTTAGTGTGGACAGTGGATTTCTTTCACATAAAAATCTGTGTGGCAGGTGGCGCTGTTGAGCTTTGAGCTGGAAAGGAGAGAGGATGAACCTGGAGAAACTTGAGTCATCCACACTGTTAAGGGATAAATCACAATCCCTGGAAAAAAAATCTAGAAGGAATAAGCAGCCCTTCTGCCAACCTCATTTCTGAGCTCTATGCAAAGGAGATTTCTTTTTTCCCAGAATTCTTGATTGGGAACTTTCATCTAAAATGATAATTAGCAATGGCAAGACCTTTTGGGGGACTTATTTTGTGCCAAGTACTGTTATTAAGTGCTTTATATATTTTGATATATTGAATCTTCTGCACAACTTTATGATGAAAGCACCATATATATCCCCATTCTTACAGCTGGAGAAACAGAAAGTAAGTAAATTATCCAAGGACACACAATTGGGCAGTTTTGAAGCTGGGATATTTGACATCTTTGTGTGTGTGTGTGTTTGTGTGGTGTGTGTGCGCGTGCGCGCTATGTATGTATGTATTTCTTTTTTTTTTTTTATCTTAGGTATCTTTGAGATGCTCTGTTTTTAGCACCTGCATATCAAACCTCGCTGCTCGTTCTCTTCCTGGAGATAATATAAGTTATAACTTGGAGACCACAGAGCACCAAGCAGATGGTTGTTGTGTTGCCACACAAACAGTAAGAAATTTTTTAAAATTTAAATTTATGTAACTGATACATAAAAACATAAAAATTGCACATATTTATGGGATACTATGTGATGTTTTGATTCATGGACACATTATATAATGTTCAAATCAGCATAAATATATTTATGTCCTAAAACATTTCATCATTTCTTTTATGGTAAAAACATTCAGCACACTTTCTTCTAGCTTTTTGAAGTATACTTTTTGTTATCTGTAGTTGCCCTGTAGTGTAATAGTACACCGTAACTTCTTGATTCTACCTAATTATAACTTAGTACCTACTGATCAACCTCTCCCCATCTCTCCTCCCTCCTATTCTTCCTAGTCTCTGGTAACCACCATTTCTACTCTCAAATTTTCTGAGATCAACTTTTTTAGATCCACCAATGAGGAAGATTATACAGTACTTTCCTTTGTGTGCCTGCCTTATTTCACTCAATGATGATTTCTGGTTCTGTCCATGTTGCCAGAAATGACAGGATTTTATCCTATTTGTGGCTGAAAAACATTCCATTGTGTACACACACACACACACACACACACATACACATACACACACATACACACACATACACAACACCACATTTTCTTTATCCATTTATTAGTTTTTGGACACTTAGGGATTCAATGTCTCTTGCAAATACAGCTGCAATAAACAAAGGAGTACAGATGGCTCATCAACATACTGATTTCATTTCCTTTGCATATGGACCCCATAGTGAGATTGCTGGATCATATAATAATACTATCTTTAATTTTTTAGGAACTTCCATACTGTTATCCATAATGGCTATGTGTAAGGGCTTCCTTTTATCCACATCCTTGCCACTACTTCTTGTCATTCGTCCTTGTACTTATTATCATTTTACTTTTTGGTAAAGTATAAATAAAAAGAAAATTGAATTTCCCATTATGCAAGTGGACTAATTCAGTTATATATGGCTGTGGGGAAATAAATGGCAACCTGGTACAAGATATTTCTCTTGAATCAGTATTGGGCCTTGTGTCTCTTAAGGGACTAGTAAGTTATGTAACTTTGGGCTGATACTTAACTTTCCTGGGTCTCAAATTTCCTCATCTGTAAAATAGATAATAATAGTACTTATTTCATTGGATTGCTATGAAAATTAAATTAGTATTTGTAAATATTATATAAACATTAACTATTTTCACTGTGATTACACTCCTGTAGGTTTTGGGTTTCTTGAAAAGAGTGGAAGAAAAATCCAGGACCCAAGGACTTGAAATTGCAGCTTTAGGCTGAGTCAAGTGTTCTCTCAAAGCCCAGAGAAGCACTTCAAGGGAGGAGGTTAAGTGATAGTTGGGGTAGGGATGGAGTGCCCTGCAGGGGCCTCATGAAACCACCCAAGGCCTGTGAGTGTCAAAAGTAGCAAGTTCTAGGGTTATTCCCCTAATAATAAAGTCTTAAGACACATGATGACTTGCTTTTGTCTAGACTAGGGGAAGTTACAGGAAAGACTTAAGTGTTCATCTGGGTCTACAAGGTGTGTCCCAGGTTTCCTACAACTCTGGAAGTAATCTATCTGTACAAAGTACTCTAACTGGCTGGGTTATAGCTCAGTAGTAGAGTGCTTGCCTAGCATTAGCTTATGGTTAAATCCCTAGCACTGAAAAACAAACAATAAACAAACAAACAAACAAACAAAAATCCACTCTAAACTGGAGGGAAGGGGACAGACATGTAGCAATGTAGACACACACACATCCTGGAGAATACCCCAAAAGACCCAGAGACACTGGAAAGGGATAATAATTTAGTGAAGATTAGTTAAGAATAGACTTCAGGAACAACTAAACCTTCCATTCTGGTGGCCCAATATTTATTGGTTGTTTACACAATCCTCAATAAAAGTCAGTCTTCATTCTTCTATCTGGTAGCCATAACCTGAAATGTGTGGCATACAGAGTTACCATGGTAGGGGAAGAAAAGGCTGGAAGATTTCATAGAATATTTTTAAGGGCTAGGTCTGAAAGTACCTTATGATACATCCATTTGTCTTTGACCAGACCAAGTCATATTGCTAACTAACTGCAAAGGAGGCTATAAAAAAGAGGAGCTTGTGGATATTTGGTGGACAATGATAGTCTTTCAATAGCAAAGGAAACTCAAATATGGGAAAAGAAGCCCTATGGGGCACAGTAAACTGACACCACAAGCTGGCCTCTTCCAGCAATGTGCTCAGTGTGGCCCCATTTGTTGCACTGGCTGGTGAAACCTAAATTGAAGTGAGATAGAAATCTTTCATTAAAGTTTAGAGATCCTTTCTCCTCTCAAGCCCATTTCTGTTTCTTTTACATATATAAATTTTATAATATTTTTTAGTTGTAACTGGACACAATATCTTTATTTTTATTTATTTATTTTTATGTGATGCTGAGGATCAAAACCAGGCCTTGCACGTGCTAGGCGAGCACTCAACCGCTGAGCCACAATCCCTGTCCCTCTAATTTATAATTTAAACTTTTGCTTTTTTATCTTTGAATTAGTTACCTCTTGCTATGTAACAAATTACCCCCAAAACTTAGTGACAGAAAACATTTATTATCTCACAGTTTCTTTGAGTCAGAAATTTGTTTTAACTAAGTGATTCTGACTCAAGCTCTTTCATGAGAGTCTAGTCAAAATGTAGACTGGAACTGCATTTCATTTGAAGCAATGCCCTTGTAGAGTCAGGAAGATTTGCTTCCCAAATTGTTCACTCACAATGTGGGCCTCTTCGCAGGCTTGGTTGAACGTCCTCAGGGGATGACAACAAGATCCAAGAGAAAGGACAAGACAGGAGACATTTTTTATGTCTTTGTCACTGAAATTATACACCATCACTTTTGCCATAAGCTAGTTATTAGAAATCAATCACTAAACCCAGCCCACATTGGAGGAGAGGGGACTTACCTCTATGTCTTCAAAATGGAATATAAAACAATTTGTGGACATTTTAAAACCACAACAATCTTCATAGAATTTATCTTAGTATAGGAATTTCTCTCCCCTCCAAAGAACAGATTCCCTTATTGCCATTTACTCATTTACCTTTCTCATTGATTTGAAATACTTTAACACATTAGATTAATATAGAAAATGACATGTACGGGCCACATATTTAGTTGTATTGACCTGGTTGCTGTTGTCATGTTCAAGTAGCTCTAAATATTGCAGTGGTCACAAAACATTAGGTCATACCATAAATTCCCTAGTAATATAAACTTTAGACAAGTTAGTGGTTATAATATGGTATAACTCGGGGCTGGGATTGTGGCTCAGAGGTAGAGTGCTTGCCTAGCACACATGAGTCACTGGGTTCTATCCTCAGCACCACATAAAAATAAGGATGTGTTCACCTATAACTAAAAAATAACTATTTAAAAAATAATAACAATAATGATATGGTATAACTTATGCAATAGTAAACTGGTAACTTGGTGGTGGGTAGTAAAGTCGCCCTGAGAAAAGGGGTTAACACCATCTGACCTTAAGGACTATAGCAACCAGAGTTAGGGAGGCTGTGCTTCAGGAAAGGCAGTGGTCATGCTGAGGGTGAGCTTAACTAGGGGTTTGTGTTAGAGGGGGGTAAGGAAGAATTCAACACATAGGACTTGGTGACAGATCAGATGGGGGAAGGGGTACCAAGAATTGCAGCTGGCCCTTTTGATAGATCTCAGGCTGTGAGACTTTATCTCACAAGTATGAAATAAAGATGTCTATGATGAAAAATCTGAATCATAAAAGCAGCAACATCTCATTTGCATCCTATAAAGGTAACCCCTGGCACAGTCCAAGACAGGACACCACGCAGGATACTTGACCTCTCAGACAGAAGATGGGTTTTTGGAGGCAGGGAAGTGGCATAGGCATCACAAGTAAGCACACTGGGGACCTGTGTTAGAACCAGCAGTATGGCAAGGAGGGGACCTGCTGAATGGTCTGTTCCTGCACCTCAACAGAGCCATGGAGCTGCCAAGGCTGATGCTGTCTCAGGACCTCCCTCCTCCACCTCAAGAAGTTCAAATCCAGCCATACAGACACCCTTCTTCCACAGGAGGACAAAGGCTACCATCTGGGAATTAAAGTATTAAACTTCAGATATAATAAAAGGATCAGCTTTGGAAAAAATAGGAAGTCTCTATTAATGTGATTTAGTTTATAAAAATCATAAACTCCAAAGAAACCAAGAGTGCAAAGCTGGATCTGGATTTCAGTTTGTGAACTATGACTGATATTATTATTTTCCTTCCCAATAGCCATTTTCATCTTTCTTCTTCTGGGCTAAGAGAACCCCCAAATTATAAGGGGTAGCCCCATGCCCAGATTAATCACAATTGGTATAAGATCTTCGTGCATGACTCTTGTTCTCCTTTTTCAGATTTAGAGCTTCCCCTGGTGGGACCAGTTTGGGCCATTGAGTTGTGTGGGGAACTCTGCTGTGGGGTTTTGGAAACATTTTGTTTTAAAACAAACAAGAAAAAACAGCCCAGAAGAGAGCTGGCTGGTACTTTTCTTCCTGCTTAAAAATCCATGTGATGCTTAGAACTCCTCTAGTTTTATAACCATGACACAAAACACAGGAGGATCCAAAGGCATCCTTTGGATGTGGTGTAATGGTTAGGCTTATATAGCAATCTGACTGTGACACAGGGTGCCTAGATATTTGGTCAAATGTTATTCTGAGTGGGAGATATTTTGATGAGATTAACATTTAAATTGGTGTACTGAATTAAGCATCTTGACTTCAGACTGCTGTCTCTCTCTCTCTACCCTATTAGTTTGGTTTCTCTGGAGGATTCTGACTTGTACATGCAGGTAAGCCTGAATTTCCACTGATGCTTCTGTTTTGCTGTACCAACCTTGATGTGCCAATTTCCATACTCTTGACACAGGACAAAATGGAGTGATTTTATTGTTCAGGCTGTTAGCCAGTCTTTCTGATACTTGCAGCCAAAAGTATTCCTAACTGGCCTTGGGTGATGGGCCTAAAACTCTTTTCAGGTTTTCAACTTGCTGTATTAAACAGTCACCTTAGGGAGATCCTCTCCAGAAACTGTTTTACTAGCTCTGAGTGGTAACTAAGAATAAATCTGTTAAGTGTTCTCAAGAACTTGTTAGCCTATGGGAATCACTGAGCTTTTAGAAAACAGGCATGATAGGAAGAAAATACTCATTGAAAGGAAAAGCAGAATAAAAAGTTTAGTATACTTTAAATTATATAACTACTTAGACAAAAAATATTCTGAATCATTGGGCAAAAATGCTAGAAAGAAAATTAAGCATTGAACAATTGCTTCTAGGTGTTACAATTTGATATTTTTGTTTGCTTTTCATAGCTTTTATTAACAAAGTCCTTATTTCTTTGTGTTGTTGTAGGATGAGAACCTGCATGTACTTAAAGGGCCACCCTCTTGTTATTCCTCCCTTCCCCATTCCCATGACCATCTTACCACTAATTCAGCTTCCTAGTGTTACATAATAATTACAGATTGTCACTGTTTTGGATTAGATTACTGCCTTGGGCTCCAACAGATCAGTCTTGAAAATCAAACTGGAATCATCCAAGCTAAAGTTCCATATCACAAGTTGAGACTATTTTTATCTGGCCTTCCAAAAAAAAAAACAATGAGGAGCCAAATTTCCCACCAATTTCCCAATTGGTGCAATAAAGAAGTTTCCCCTGCCTTTTATCTTTAGATTTTTTAATCCTTACAAGAAGTAACTTGAAGTAACCTATGGTAACTATTTATTTATTTATGGCACTAGGGATTGAATATAGGGCCCCCACACACACTAGGCAAGCACCCTATCACTGAACTATATCTCTAGCCCAACCAGTTATTTTTCTATTTTCAGTTCTGGCTTTATAAGGAAGGTAACTTTGAATGATCAATATGGTTTTTGCTCTTTTACTTTGATTTTTTCAAACCTCTTCTGCTTAGCCCATAGGGACACTAATTCCTTTTTTTATGGAATGAATTGTTCCTGGGTTCTAGAATTGAAAATAAAGCCAGTTAAGATTTTATTTTGTTGTGATTTTGTCATTTTAGATCAATGACCATGGAAAGAGATGTCTGAAAATTTTAGTCATGGACAAATAAAGTTCCTATTATATAGAAAAGCTATGGAACAAATCTAGGTGCCCTTCAATAGATAAATGGATTAAGAAAGTGTGGTACAAATACACAATGGAATATTACTCAGCCATAAAGAAGAATGAAATTATGGCATTTGCCAGTGAATGTATGGAACTGGAGACTATCATGTTAAGTGAAATAAGCCAATTCCCCAAAAACCAAAAGGCTGAATGCTGTCTTTAATAGGTGGATACTAACACAAAATAAATGTGGGGGGAGGGAATAATACAAGTTCATTGGATTAGACAAAAGTGAATGAAGGAAAGAGGAGATGGGAATAGGAAAGATGGTAGAATAAATTTGACATAACTTTCCTATGTTCATATATGAATACACAACTAGCATAACTCCACATCATATACAACCACAAGACTGGGAAGTTATATTGCATGCATGTATAATATGTCAAAAATACTCACGTATATCTAAAAAAGAACAAATAAAAAATAAAGTTTCCCTTGTAAATTAGTAATTAGCATTGTGTTGATGTATCTACTGTGAATATGGATAATGTGAGTTCAATAAGAAAGACTAACAGGAGTTCACTTCATGCTCTGAACATAACACTTGCTGTTCTGCTATTGTGGCTTTTTAAAAAACGGACTTTTTTTTTCTTCTCCCTCTCCACCTCCCTAACGTTGGGGGGTTGGGGGAAGATTGCCCTTGTTCCCATCTTAGGCTGAGTTATCTGTCCTGGAGCAAACACACACCATAGGAATGAAATAATTCTGACTTCAGGAATGGTGCAGAAGACCTAAGAAACAGTTGTCTTCCAAGTCTTCACCACCCTTGACAAGGCACACCTGGAATGTAGCCTTTGAATCACCTCTTTAAAAGCCCTCTGTTCCCCCTGGTGAGCAGAATCATAGCCTCTGGGATAGAAGCCCCTGTATTTCTTCTTTGCTAGCAAACCAATAAAACTTCTTTTGCCTTTTTTCTTAAAACAGTGTCCTCATTATTGGATTGATATCTGGGGCAAGGACTGGGCTTTCCAGAACAACATAAGATTGAGTCTCTGCCCTCTGGACCCTGGCTTATGGCAGAGTCCCTTGGCAGGGATGACAAGGACCCAGAAATAGTGAACATGACAAACTAGCAGCCCCACGAACTACAACCAACGTCTGTCTGTCAAGCACCCTTTGTGTGTCAGGCATGGGGCTTAACACTTAACAGGCCATCTCATTTAATCCCCAGGCCAACCCTGTGAGGCAAATGCTTTGGGCAGAAAAAGTTTTCAGGGGTAGACTTGGCCATCCAGGTGTGACTGTAACTACTAGGAATTCCAACACCAATCTCAAAGATGAAAAGACAAAATATCCCCGAAAACGCTGAAGTTACAGGAGTAAAGTATTTGAGAATGAAGGTTTTAGGGATGCTTCCAAGCGGGACCGGATTTGCCTGTGAGCTTAAAAGGCTTTATGCCTCACAGTGGATTGCCATTTCCAGACGCACCAAGGGCCTGACAAATCTATTCTGTTTTAGCCCTACTTAGAGGATTCTCTAACTTTTCAGGAAACATGAATTTCCCACCGCCGCATGGAAATTTGTTTTCTCTGAAAAGGACATAGTATAGCTCCCAATGCAGGCGTGACTGCCCAGGGGACGAAGCAGAGAGGGACCTGAAGTTCTCACTACCTGGACGCCAAGATTTGGGATTTGGCTCCTGGCCTTCGTCGCGTCCCGGCGCCGATCCGCAGGCAGCGCACGAGGCCGCCTTGCGTCAGAGGACCAGGCAAGCATCCTTCTCTGGAAGGTCACTGGCAATCCCCGCCCCTCCTCCGCTCCTCTCCCCGCAGCTGGAGGGCGGGGGCGTGCATTCTTGCCTTGCGGTTCCTTCCATACTTCGGCCAATAGATCCCGAAGTCCACACTCGCGTGGCCGCTAGACGAAGCCCCAGACGACCGCGGCCGCAGTTACTCGGCGCGGCACACGCAGAACCAAGGCTGGCGAACCACAGCAGCGCAGCGCCGGTTCCGCTCCAGGAGCCTGGGCCGACGTGGTGTCACTGGTTCTGGCCCCCTTGCCGCCCTCCTGGCAGTGGCTTTCATTTAGGATACATCGAAGTCAAACATCGAGCCCGTGTGACTGTGACCCATTGGAAACATTGAAATTTCTGAAGAATGAGGACTAGTATTTTCTTAGGTCCTGAAATCTTGGCACAGAAAAACCAAAGACTTGTAAATAATCATGAAGGACACATAAATCCCATTAGCCACACAAAGGACCCAGGAGGAACCAGTCTAGGAGACTGGGCAGATTTGGGTTTGAGGAGGGAGTGATTTTTGACAAGATTTCTCCTGATCAGTAGTGAGGACATTTTAACTACACCTGGTTCTGGCAGGAGAAAAGGTGAGACTCCTCGGAGGCAGATTGAAGGCTCAGTGAGATTTACAACTGCAATGGACAGATACAAATTTCATATGTTTAAATAAATGAACTCATAATGTTGCTAGGTACCTCATTTTGGGGTGTTAGGGAATAACCTCATTTTTTTTTACGTAGACCAGCAAAGAGGAAAAATATAAAGCACTTAGCCTGTACCTGAGTATTACCAAATGCTTGACACAATTTTTCCTTTATGAAAGCTTTCCTGATAATCAGTGGAGTAAGGGATGAGGTAAGGATGTCATTGTCATTCCCTAAACAAAACCAGAACCAAAACCAAAACCCAAATCCAGCCAACCAAATAAAGAAGCCCCTGAATTTGATCAAACCTCTAGACCAAAGGAAATAGAGGGATAGAGGAATATGTTAAAAGAGATTCAGCCAGCAACATGGAAAATTGTGAGAAACTACCAGAAAATTGACTCTATTTCTCCAACAATAATAACAACAACAGCAACAAAAAAATTGCAAGAAAAAGGAGAGAGAACAATAGATTATAAATCACTTCAGAGTTATCAATTAATTAATAATGTTTGGGATTTATCCAAATGCTGATTAAACATACAAACTAAACATATATTGTCTGTGTAAGACAGTTATAGAAATGAGAATAATTACTGGATGTTTGATGATACAACATAAGTATTATTCATATTTAAAGAAATTATAACAGTATTGTGGTTATTTTTCAAAGTATATATATATATATATATATATATATATATATATATATATATATAAATGAAACATATATAGGTGAAACAATAGAATGACTGATATTTGCTTCAAAATCATGTGGAGGGCTGTGGAGAAGTAGGTAGGGAGAAGTAGGTAGGAACTTGGATAGCATGAAGTGGCAGGAGTTGAAGCTAGTGATGGATGCATCTGGGTTCATTACATTTTATTTTGTCTTTGAACATTTCTAAACTGAAAGTTAAAAAGGATCTGAGGAGAGTTGGGGTTTGCAGGAGGAGCTCATCCTTGGACTTTTTACAGCATCATTCCTCCATCGGTTAATGGCAGGTGCACCGTTTTATAATGCTAAGTCTGATAATGATGAGGGCACATAGAACTTTCTTAAGTTCAAGGGGCCTCAGAGAGGGCCTGTGGGGTGCTGGATCATTGCTGAAGGGTGGAGATGGAAGTCAAGGTTTCTCCCTTGATACCCAAGAGGGGATGGGCTTTTCATTAGAATTGGGTGGTGATAAGAGTTGCAGATCCCCACTAGGTGTCCACCTAGGCCATACAGGCTCTCTTACTGTTTTCCATTGTAGTCTCCACTGAAAGCACAGATAGTGGCCTCATATTTCTGGGATATGCTGACTTTCTGGGAAAGTCCTGACTTTCCAGCAGCCTCTTGTAATACCCTCACTCCCTAGGGAGGGTGAGGAGTGCCTCATTACTGCTGGATGTGGGTGAAAGTCCTGGATCTACTTGGGGTGTGTTAAAGGGCAAGGATTCATTACCAGCCTTTCCTGATAGCCCTTACCACAAAGAGGTTGAGGGGACTCATTAGAGCTTTGAGAATGTCTAGAAAAATCCTCATTCAGACTTTGCTGCTGTGGGAGGGGTCATGGACTTTTCTCTGGAGTATACAGCTTATTGTCTCAAGGTTTTCTCTTGCTAGACTTCCTCTTTTCCTGGTACTTGGCTCAAAAGAAGGCTTTGTTGTGTGTGTGTATTTTTTCTGTGTGTATCTATACAACTTTTTTTTTCTTTTAAATTGCTGACTTATTTAACTCTAAGAGCCTGAGATCCTTGGTGTCAGGACCTGTCCAAGGGTTGCACATGGGTCACCGTGCATGGAAGCCTCATGGATAGAGACATTTTGTGTCTGGGAATGACCATGGACATTTTCTCTGGTCAAGTGCCCAGGGACAATGTGAATCTCTTTCCCGCTCTGTGGTGTGACCTGCCAAGATGTCAATCAAGGCCTACACAACACCTGATATGGGTGTTACTTGCCAAGATGTCAATCAATCTGCCAGATGTCTATCAACTGCAAGAAATCATGAAACAAGACTCCACCCTTGAAACCTTATCCCTGCCTTTGATGTACCCCGTTAAATAAACCACCGGGGCCATTTTCCCTTTGTCTAGTTCCAAAACCCATGTGGACTAGATCTATCAGGGGCTTCATCTTGTGTAAATATATTTCTGAGTGTTTGTGCTTTGTTGTTCACTAATTTATTTGAGATTGTAAGTTTTAGGGTGGCTTGGATTATCCTGGGCAGGAAGAAGTACCCCTTAATGAGATGCTGACTGTTGTCCCCTAGATACCTTGGTGTGTCTGTGTTTTCTTGACTTGAAGATTTTTTTTTCCTCATATATCTCGACCACAACCCGCTTAGACAAGATAAACTGAATTTAAACAAGCTGGCTGCAACATTAAGCTAAGAAGAAGGTGGCAAGAAATTATGCAACACATACATAATTTTCATATGGGGGCAGGACGGCTCTTTGAGCTTGGGAGTCAGCTTCCACGCTAGAAAGAGAGAGCACTGGAAAGAGAGAGCACCAGAAACTGAGATCTGTTTATTCATAGGGGGGTTAACAAAGGATTTTTGATAGAATGTTCTTTACCAAATAAGGCAGGAATAAGGTTTCAAGGGTAGAGTCTTGCTTCTGGATGTCTTGTGGTCAGCAGATTGATTGACATCTTGGCAAGTCACACCCACTTCAGGTGCTATGTGGGATCTTAGGCAGGGCTAGAGGAGGACGCGCACCTGCATCAAGCCATAAATCCCTGACAGGGATTTCCAGTGCCAGGCCTATCCCCTCATATGGCTACTATGCACAATAGTTCACACACACAGCCCATGGATGGCTTGTAACACTCACAAAATTTAGTGGGAAAAATAGAGGAAAGTATGTCTGCTCCATCTTCCTGGAATTGAAAATGAACACTTTGTGTTTTGAAGAAAGAAAATCTATCACTTAGTATGATGCTTCTTGGTTTCTGTTAGAATTCAACAATAGGGGAACACTAGGTATATACAGAGAGAGCTCCCTGAAAAGTTTCCTAGGACTTAACGGAACCAAAATCAGATCTTGGGAACCACAATCAGATCTTGGGTTGTAGAGAAAATTCAGGTTCACCTGAGTATCCGCTCTTGGGATCTGACACTTATGCTCACTCTCTGAAGCCTTCTGAGAGGAAGGGGTACCCAAAGCACTGGTGAGAAGCCTGAAGCTGAGGAAAAGAAAAAGCACTAAAACTTTGATCTCCTCGGTATCACCTTACTGATGGGGAAACCACTGGTCCATAGGGGGAATAGGTTGAAGAGCTTTATTCTAAGTGGGGAGAGACTAGTGATGTGGCAGATAACAGCAGCTGAATGGAGGATGAACATAGGCCCCATTTGCTTCCCTTCCTATAATACTTAGCACTGAAGATCCCTCCCTTCTTTGGAAGCCGTCACATATGCTTTGCTGATCTGCTGATGTGATCACCTTGGAGGTAACTTCTCTGACTTCTGTCATCCCTCTTGGATCTCTGAAGGCTGTTGTTCTATAGGGTTCAGTTCTTCATTCTCAACTCTTCTTGATCCAAACCCTTTGGGTAAGTTCATCCACTTCTGTGGGTTTAAACACCATGGTTCCCAAATCTACATTCCCAACTGTTTCCTGGAAATTTGTTCCTGAATGTTTAGTGATTACTTAAAGCATGCCTGCCTGAAGCAAGGATGCATTAGTTT